GTGATTACCCCATTTAAATGCTAAGTCTATAAATTGATAAAAGTTGCACACACCAGTATTTGATTTTGCTAAAGTGCCATCCCCTCCCTCTTGATGCCCTTACCGGCGCCTGTGGTGTAATGGTTAGGCAATTTGTTGTCGCACGTTGGAGACCCGAGTTCGATTTCTGATTACTGAGTAATTTCTAATATATAGAGTCTTTCTATCTTGGTCTTGCTGCTGGGATGTTGTATTCTCTCTGCCAAGATTGACCCAAACATGCAAGGTTAGAAGCCCACCTCATAAGTAATCGAGATCTAAATTGTGTCGATGGGGATATAACAACATTTATCCATTTTATTTTTAAAACAACTGTTGCTCTGTAAGTCTACTTTATGGAGTCAGGGGGCTCTCGTGGTCAAGAGGTTATGGTGTTTGCCCCTCATTCATCAATAGTCTAGATCCTGCATTCGAATTCAGACAGCGACGTAAAATTTTTCTCTCAAAAAATTTCTTCTTTCACTTTTTTCCTGCTCTGTAAACATGTTCTGTTGTCTGCTTTCGTCTCCACTTTCTGGCCCCGCCTCACTCTCCTGAGCCCCCTCCTGTGGGCTCCTGACTCTTTCTGTAGCCTTTCTACTGCTACCCCTCGACTCCCTTCTCACACTCACAGCTGTCTTTCATCCACTCCCCTGATCCTATGGTAGGTAAGATCAAACACTTAACCTTTTTGGATAAGGGCGAAAAATCTCAGAAATCTCGTGTGCAAGTTGTGCACATTAAGAAAGATCCCTTGGTGGTCCTAAAATCGGAATAGGCTTCGGCTGTCATCCTGGCAGGGCAAAATTCCAAATTTCCTACCAAATGAAAAATGTTAAAGTGTCCCGCGCACTCATATAACCTTATGCAGCTGCGTCATACGTAAAACACTTACCAAAAATAAAAAAGTTATGGAGTCCGATTGGGATGTTAATCTAGTGTGGCAGACTCCGCTTGCCAGTTTTTCGCTGACCCTCCAGTACCAAACTGACGTTGAGGTTCAGTGTGTACACTGAGCCTCCTAGTTTTTAACTTAAAAGCGCTGTATGGTATGGATTTAGCACATTTTTCAACTCATGAGTTTATTTTATAGTCAGGACCTCAGAATTTAATGCCTTGAGTGATGGCTCTCTAGAAGAAGCACCACAATCTCCAATATTGTAAATCAAACAGAAGATTAAGCGATGGAAGTATAGCAGTTTCAAACCCTAGTCAGTCAAAGTCAGTTCATCATGATAAGCAACTACTGAGCTAACACTACTCTCATACTCATACTTCATAGCACTTTGGGTTCTTCAGTGAAGAAACCTTTGAAATGTTCTGGCCCTTCCTTCAGATTTACTAAAAGAAATGACTCTAAAGTCCCTGGTTACACGCTACGATAAATGGTGTCAGATTCGTCGTATGCAAGAACTGTCCGTTTTATCGAGTTGTGTAGTCTTTAAACGTACAATCTATTGTCCAGTTTTCTTTCGATCAGGGAGATTCAAAGTCAATGACTTGAATGCAGATGTGCTACGCACCGGGTGACCTTGATAAAAATTTATACGCAACGTCACCATTGACGATCAACTAAATAATAAAATTGCTAAAATTTACATAATAACGCATGAAATCAGGTTCCCCGTGAGCAACTTTGCTTATTTTGAGACACTGATTCCGAATATAATATGAAATCAGTTTTTACCTGCCATAATTATTTTTACGATTTTGAGCCCTAAGATAAATCCTGCGTGGCAGCAAATTTTAAAGTGATTCTACGTCACAGGGCGCCTCCCCCAAATCTGACTGTGATCCCACGGAAAATATCAAACAGCGCTTGATTTCTTGACCGAGTCTCTAAGCCATTGTCCAAACTTTGTACAATTTTATGGTTACACCTGACGATTTGTCTCCTGATAGATAGATCGTCCAGTTTTTGTACAATTTATCGTTGCTTGTAACCGAGAAGTGAAGTCTTTGAGACAAGATCAGCTTGCAAAGTTGCATTCAGTCAAAATTGAGTTATAGGGAAGCCTTTGTCCACTGAACCGAGCAGTATCTTACTGAAAAGAAAATGAGATGGCTTTTATTTATTTCTTGTGGGGCCCCTCAGTTGCTGGCATGCTGTGCTTTTCAACTTCAACTACATTGTTGGAATGACTTTCTCAATTTTAAAAATTTTAATAACAATTTAGTCAGTGAATTCAATATTGCTATTAATTTGAATTTAATTTATGATGTTAGCTTACAATTACAGTGGAATCCAGTTATAACGAGAGGGAGGGGACGGTGCGAAATTTCCGTTATGGCAAGATTCTCGCTATAAGGAATCCAGTAATAAATTCAAGGGAAATAGTAAAGTAGGCCTAATCTATGAGTCTGGTTTTCGATTTATTTCTTTTTGAAATCTCCCCTGATGATGATTTGGTTCAACATGACCTTTAAGTCTTACTCGATCAAAAGTCGAATCAGGTTTCTTTCTCTAGCGCTAGAGATGTTGACAGCTCGGCGTTGGCGATCAAAAAGAAAGTTCTCTAGCCCACTTGCCAGCTGTGTTGTCCCCCACTCCACCACATCCTGTGGTGCGTTCCGTCTGCCTGCGCACAATGGGACATACCACACCCCGCCCACGTCACACATTCGCTCCGTCCATCACAGTATAGCACTATGACCTCTCCATCCACGCATCAAAGAAGTGAGAGGCATGGTAGGCCTAGATAATCTAGACTAGGTTGGCCTATCACTTGATGCGTTCTGCTTGTCTGTGCATGCTACACACTCCCCACTCATTCAATCCGGCCTTCATTGTTGGCACACGTGGGCTCTCCCATTATTTGTTTTGCAATTATCATCATCATTGCCTTTCTCACCCTGGATCAGGATATAGGCCACGAACAAACACTCTCCACTTTTGCCTATCCTGGGCTAGTCGCTTGATGTCACTCCACGTCTTCCCACTTTTCTGTACATCCATTTCCGTGACTCTTCTCCAGGCTCCACGTGGTCTTCCCCTTGATCTTTTACCCTGTGGGTTCCACTCTTAACACTTTTCTTGTGATGCAGCTGCTTGACTTCCTGAAAGTGTGTCCAATCCATTGCCAACGTCTTCTTCCCACCTCATCTCTGACTGGGCTCTGTCTCGTTCTTCTTAATACTTCCTCGTTGGCATGGTGATCCTGTCTGTCCATTTGATCCTCAGTAGCTTCCTCAGACACTTTTTAAAGAAAACCTGGATCCTCTTTATGCATGTCTGGGATGCGTTCCACGTCTCATATCCATACAACAAGACTGACTTCACATTTGAGTTGAAAATTCTAAGCCTTGTTCGTAATGAGATATCCCTGGTCTTCCAAATCCTGTTCAAAGAAATAAATGCAGTCTGTGCCTTTCCAATGCGGGACTTTATTTCAGCGCCTGTTCCTGTTCACAAGATAGCCAAGAAGTTTCTCAACTGGCGAGGTTTTACATATAAATCAAATGGCCTATGCGCTGTGCACAGCAGCAGCAATATTCCGCTATAACTACTGACTCGCGTGTTTGTCTGATTGTGATATAGCAAGTAGGCCTATTTTATTTACAAAGATAAAGAAGGGGAAAAAACGGGGTTTTAGAAAGGTGTCTTTATAACAGACTTCTCGTTATTTTAGGACTCGTTATAAGTGGATTCCACTGTACAAAGCTTAAAGCGGACTTACAAAATTCAGTTTAACATACCTAAAGAAACACAACAGAGCAAAAGGACAATACATACACTAACAAAATATATATAAAATGTATCTTTTAATGTACTCTTAATAAATATAATATGTCTCCTTATCAAAAGACACATACTGTACATTTGGAACTTCACTGATCAAAAGAACCAAAAAACCCCCAACAAAGCTGTTGCTTCCCCTAAAAGTAAAAGAAAAGAAGGTTGATGTGATATTAAAAAATACCCTTCCTGAGAAGAGCACAATCCAAAACAATACAAACAGTAACCAAAACTCCTTCAGAGACCAAGGAATTCACACGCACCAGTGCATTCATGTGTATATACACTCACGCACGCGCACACACACACAGAAAGCAAGCTAAGGGATAAATATCATTCATCATCAAGTAAAGTGCCAGATTTGCGACAGACATTGGAGATCATGTTTCTCCATTCATTCTTTTGCTTGGATGCTCTAAAAAAACCTACATATGATTAATTATCCTATCTTTCTCTTCCATCCATCAGTTTAGGCTCTCCAAGCAGGTTGCCAACTGGGTCTACCACTGCTTTGTTTTCCATTAATTTTGTCAGTGATGCTGATTCAAGTGTCCCATAAACTGCATCAGTACAATACTAAAGATGTGTCAGTGTCACGACGCAGTGGAATCAGGCGCTTGTCAACTTTTGGGCACAGATGGAGTTATTTGTATAATTTATACAGCTTGTTCATTTGCCTTGCTTTTGATGAAAAAAGTACCAATCTATCTTGAATATAAGTCGAAATATCTGGAGAGGGTCGCTGGTTTCAGAGGTAGAATTAAGTGAAAAATGGCTGCCAAAGTTTTTTTACTTCCATATAATCCATGGAAACTGAAAATTTACAATTTTTGTTCCTTTTACCATTTTCAGTAACATCCATACAGAAATGTGTCTTTAAATGGTTATGAAAAGTGTTCGAAAAAAAAATTCGATAATTGCCAAACCCAAGGTGGGGGGGGGGGGGGGGGGGGGGGGGATGCCGGTTTCTTCTATAAAAATCATTAATTTGACGAGCTCTTGATTTCACCACGATGCCTCACAAATGACCACAATGATACAAAATCGCACAGTTGGAAATCAATCAAAAACATTGTTACATGTACTTCAGTCAGTGAAAGACGAATAGTGCTAGGAAAATGTTGATATCATGGGTGTGGCACACTGACCTTTCACATGATATTATGCCCTCTGGAAATTGAGATCAGGGTCAAGTCCCTGAGAAATAATACCTCAAGACATGACTGACTGAAATGTTTCCATTCACTCTCAGCAATTTGAAATAGCCATTTATTATTTTGAAAGTATCTACCGGGTACATGTGTAGTATTCATGCTTAGCAGAAGCCCATTAGACTGCAGAAATTTGCCCTTGAAGTGCGATTTTAGGGTAGTAATTTACTTCTAGGTTTACTTTTAAGGGCTGAGTTGGATGGATTGCAGTATACAGATCAACTATCAGCCTCTTGATATCATATTTAAAACAATACTCATAAGTATGCCTTATAAATGACCTAATGACAAAGTATCATAGATATCAGAAACTCATTTTATGAAGGTACAAATGATTTGGAATTTAAAAAAAAAAAAAAAAAGACAGATCCAGGTCGTGGCTCCATCAGTCCGCTCTTATATATGACCATATGCAGTTGCGAGCGCAGTAAAACTCTTATCAAAGCTCTTGACTTAAGATGCCATCTGTATGAAGACAATGACATTGACAATCTTTATACATTTCGCAAGGAGAAATTTATCAAAATTGACAGCATAACTTAAGTGTGGAATGTACACCTTGAATTCTAAATTGTGCAACTTTGTATTCTCTAATAGTATGTAATACTCTAATGCTATCAAACTCCAGAGGGCCACGTTCACTCGTGTGTATTGTTGTATACCGGGTACATGTATCTTGTGAAATGAGCATACTGAAAGGCAGTGTCTGCATTAGGAACATAATGAAAATGTACAAATTTGTGTATGTCATCCTTCAAATAATAATAATCCCATCTTAGATTAACGAAGATAAAAATACAGGTATCTACATAAACAGAACAAACAACAAGGCACAAAATCGGAGATCTAAAGAACATGTCTCCCTCATTTTGTTTGTGGTCATACTAATACTAACTACCATTATTTCACATCACTTCCATACTACTAATCATCCACACTGCCCTGTGTTTGTATGAAAAAAAACCCAAAGCCATAGATTCAACTCACTGAACCCTGGGTATTATGAGCTCGCTGACTGCCCTCCTTGAATGGTCATTTCTCTCTCTCGAAAATTATAATATAAAAAAAAATTAATCAAGAAAGATAGGCCAAAGAATTGAGATTTTTTAAAAATTTAAATTTTGAGGCAAAATAGGCACAGTATACGAAGTCAGTCAAATGAATCAAAATATATCAATATCATATATCTTTTTATCAAATGAGAATTGTCCTTGATCTTCATGTTCCAGAAAAGACCAGAAGTCAGGTTGACTTAAACTTAAACGTGTACATCAGTTATTTTCACTTGGACTTTTGAACCCCTCTCATATAAATATTATTTTGCTTGAATGTGCTTGTTTCAGTGGTTTTCAGAAAGAAAAGTTCATATTTCTGTCCATATAAAGGCCTACTTAAACAGTATAAAGTTGTATCGAGTATGCAGGTAATAGTCAAATTAGTCCAAAATCAAAACAACATTTTTAAGTAAGCACATCTGGTCCCACTAATGCCTCATCCCGATATAGTTTGGGATCAGGGTTCAGTGAGTGTGAGACATTGCAGATCACAAGCACATTCCAAGAAAGAATTGCTGTGATGTATAAATAGGCCTGCTCTCCGATTTTTGTTTCACACTCTTCATTCACTCTTCTTGGGATCTTTTCTGTACGTCTTTTCCAACTCTTTCAATCTGTCCATAATTTGTGAGAGTTCTTGGGGGGCTTGAGACGTACCCTCTGCTGCATCAGGGTTATCTTTCTTGTACTGCTCTGCCATTGCTTTTGCTTTCTCCCAAAGCTCAGTAGGCATAGGCGCCTCAGGGATCTGGTACCTCTGATTGGCCACGACCCCGGCATAGACGCCGACTAAAAAGAAGATCAGTCTGCCAAACATGTTGGAGCGCCTGGCAAAGTGCCGGTGTTTGTAAAAACTCTTGTAGAACTTTTGGTACTTTTCTCTGAAAAAGATGGAGCAAAAAAATTGGGTACTTCTCAAAATGTACTGATAGTTAATTATAGCAAACTGTCAGTGTCACACAGACAATTATCTTCAAATTTCATACAACAGTGAATGATTCAAAGAAAACACCAAATTACAGTACAGATGATCTCACCTTTGACATTGCCAGTAAATTGCCAGTCGCCTATTGCCTATTGTACTTCACCAAACATTCTTTCATGAATGTAACTAACATCAACTTACGGTATTCAATAATTAATACAACTACATTATGAATAATTAAATATTTGGACAGCACAAACAATTCCCCTTCATTATGAGTCGTTCCCAAATAGTTTTTCAAGCTCATTTCTAAAATCTCAGCAACAGAAAATGCAAACAGTTTAGTCAACTTAGTGTCTTTTCATTTGATCCCTTTCCACTTTTTCGATTCATCAATGTCTAAGTTGAGACCCAGATGTGGGTATACTTTAGTGCCACTTTAAAAAAAGATTCCATTAAAAGGACAGAATAGTACCATACCCAGAAAGGTTAACATCCTGATTCCATTCACCTACTATTAACTGTGCTCCAAGGCACTACTAATTTACTCACTAAATCCAATCTATCTAGTATCTCTGAATTTGTTGTTGACTTTTTCAACTCTCTCTGAATTTGCTGTTGACTTTTTCAACTACTGATTTGTGAAATGGTGATTTGAAGAAAATGCTGACACTAATTTTTTAGCTTCTGACTTTACAGTAGTGAAAAACTAACGGAACTTCAAGGTACCACAGAATTTCTTTGTAAGGGAAGTTGCAATGCAATGATATTGAAGGGGAAAAAAACCCTTGGGATCTGAAATCCTTTCCTGGTGACAGGAATTTTGTGTCAAACAACTTTATATTAAACAGCCCACTGTAGCCTACTTTTGCGGCATACAAATCAATCTTATCGGGTTTACTGATTTCATAATGACCAATTGCCCATTTTTGGGTTGTTGGATCGAGAATGTTTTTTAGCACCTGTATTATTATCAAATTACTGAAGCATTGTATCAACATGAATCAGAATCACAAGGTGTCTCAAACCCAAAAGTTACCAAACTGCAATGGACTGGTCTAGGCTAGGCTAGGTCATCTATTTGTTTTGTGCTTCTGTCCGCCTTCACACATATATATGTGAAGTATGGCACTTCGGACTTGGGGGAATTATTGATTAAAACATTTTTTGTTGTTGAAATACACTCATGTGAGAGAAGGGTGGGTGTTATGAAGACATCCTGTCTGAGTTGTCTGAAATCTTATCAAAACTTGAGTCACACACTGCTCAGCTTGATTTACAACTATGATTTTTAGTGCTTTTGTTCTGATGTAATTTTACTCTTTACTTAGTTTTCTGATTTTACAAATTTTCCAATAACTCTAATTTGTAGAGAGCAATTTAAATAAATTGTATTGCTGTTTATAACGTTGTGATGCAAGATCCAGTTCTACCAACTTTTCTGTGGGAGTTTAGTATTGTACGGATAACTAGTGGCAGTCATTCGTACAACAATATTGTACGGACAACCAGAGTTTTTAGCACAATGGTACGAATAACCGCTCTGAAAAAACAAGAAAGAATTTAAAAGAAAAAATAACGAACACGAAGAAAAGAGCTTGGATTGCTTAAAATATTAAACTTACTGAACACGATTTAACACCCTCGCCCATTTGGTCGGAACAATTTAGAACCCTTAAACCGTCGTGCAAGAGCATGGTCGCGTGCTCATGTCTCGTTACGTTCGTACACGCTTTCTGTTCCTTGAACCATAATGTATTGTGGGCAGAGAGGCCAGCCATCGTTAAGTGTGTAAACAGTGAATGGTCCGGCCAGCGGCCGTTCCCACGTCCGGCTCAGTGTCGGTAGTGAGCCTTTTTTTTTACCGGAGAGGCGAAAACTGCTTTAAAACATTATAATTATCGAAGTGTATACAGACCCGGTAACCGGGATTACAAAGTCACGAAGTATACAGACCTGGTAGTGGAAATCTTTTGTGATTTCGGAAAGTTTCAGCGCCCAGACCCGGTATAGTGTGTGTGTGTGTGTGTGAGAGAGAGAGACAGAGAGGGAGAGAGAGAGATAGAGGAGGGGGTAGAGAACAGAGGGAAGTGATAGCAAATATCACATGCCCCAGTTGATAGGAGGGAACGATAGCAAGATAGAGTGGGAAAGTAGTTGGGGGAGAAAGAAAGACAGAGACAAACAAAGAGAAAGAGAAGACGAGCGATACATAGAGAGAGAGAGAGAGGCAGGCAAAAAAGAGGGGAGAGAGACAGAGAAATAGAGAGGGTGACTCCTCGATTGAAATTATGACATCGTTCTTTTCTTCAAATTATTTAATTGATTCCTCCATCTCCAAAACGGAGGAAAAATGATGGTTCATTGAAAAGACATTCGCAATCTTCATTTAGATCTAGGCCTCGGAACTAGATCTATGATTTATGTCAGTCTGTCTACTGTCTAGATCTAGGCCAAGAGGGCGCTGAAACTTTCCGAAATCACAAAATAGGCTTGGGCAGAATTGAAAAAAAAACCGACTTTCAAGTCTTATGTCCTAACACCTTGAGACCCGCAAGTCTCAAGCCCAGTTTCATGTCCAGGGGACATTTAATAAAGTACAGTGGAACTCGGATTCAACGAGGTCGCCGGGCCTGGCCTAAAATCTCGTTGAATCCAAGTCTTCGTTATAGCAAACACGGGATAATTACAGGCACTGAGCAAGTAATGTATAAAGAGAAGTCACAAGTAGTGTCTGACATTCCTGCATATTTTTATGAGCTGTGTTAAAAAAAGACCGATTCGTTCAAATGCACACCTGGGTCATCTCAATTGTTTGCCAAAAGGTTGTGTTGCTGTGTAGAGCCTAGCATAGAGCTACTTTTGATTCCATAGACCAGCGCACAATTCATTACGTAGATCTACGTCAAGACTAGCTTATCATTGTAATAATGATCAGTTGCAGAGGGGGATAAAGACTGACATTCATCGCTAGTGCTCCCCCCTCCCCGACACGCACACACAGCCACATGCCAACAACACATGTGTTAGTATGAAAAAAGGCCGCTGATTGGTCGTATGCAATCGGCTTTACTAAGTGAATAATGGTTCATGATGAGAATTTCAAGTCTCAAGTCCAAGTCCTGCCCAGGCCTATCACAAAAGATTTCCCCTACCTGGCCTGCAGCCTACATCTCTAGATCTAGATTATCTAGACTTCGTGACTTTGTTCCCTGTTACCGCGTCTGTATACACTCCCTCTATTATTTTCGTTCCCATCCACATGCGGTAAGCCACCTAAGGACCTAGGTGATTTTATCGGCCTGCGAGAGGTCATGGGGGGAGTCCTCGCTTCATGCCCACACCGGGGTGGGAGCTATTCTCATCGGGGGTGGGGGGGGGGGGGTGTGTGAGAATAGAGAGACATGGGTTAGGCTATATTATACTCCGTATATTATATCAGCAGGTGGCGGCCTATAAATAACCTGCCAAATAACCTTACAGTAATAACAGGGAAGTAGCCCATTAGACCAGTTTGGTGACTGACCTTAATGAATATTACATGACATTTGGAGCCCTTACTTCTTTTAACAATTCATGGAAGCGTTTCAGTCTGAGTGATCTACTTGTTTGTACACACAACACCTCGCCGCAAACAACTTTTTAGACCTTGCGCGAGATGCCCTAATAAACAAGCTTTTGCAACAGGAGTCATTTCCCTTGCCTAACTAGATCTAGACCTAAATTTCCGTTCGTACTAATAATGTGACCAAATCCTAAACATAACAAAGATCTTGATATAGTATTTGTAGTAATAGAGATCTAATAAACGTTTTGGATATTTTGTTTATGCCTAATACAACTAAATCTAGATCTAGCCGTTATTTGCGTTTGAGATACCCTTGCTTTTTTCAACTCACCTGTTTCCAGTCATCTGCGAAACTTCACTTTGACTTAGATTATGATTCATATCCCGTTATTAGCCGAGGTTGCTGTTTTTCTTCCCTGTATTAGATACGCTTACTTCCTTGTGAATATTATGAAATGATTCCAAATGTTCTCACATAGAAATTTCTGGTTACAATCTCATCAACGATAGATTAATGTCTGCTTCCTTGTCTTTTATAAAGAGCGTGCAGTACTTGACAGTTACGGTTTTTGTCATGTCAACCATGATGAAAGCAGGCGCGTTATTGCCTCAGCTTGTTTGCCTTGAATACATTGATAAAAGACGGAACCGGTTGTTATCTATCGACGTCTATCAAGGAGCTTAGAACTACTTTTAATCTCCTCGACCCGCAAATTTGTTTAATTGTTTGTTTGTGTGTGTGTGTGTGTGTGTGTGTGTGTGTGTGTGTGTGTGTGTGTGTGTGTGTGTGTGTGTGTTTAGAATTCCCCACTACACACGTAAAGATACAATTATAGCTCTGAGGCTAAGGTACCTTTTCCTTGACACAATTGTTAAGGCTTACGTTTAGCTGAACGGCTCGGTGCACCCGTTTTCTTCCTAGTCTCAGTCCCACATCTTGGTTTCGCTTCTCGTTATCGTCCCACTTTCGTCAGCCACGATTTGACCCGTTTCCGTCCCACATCTTCGGTTCACTACCTACTTGTGTTCGTCCCACATTTGCAATAATGTTACCGATTACCCTTCGACACCTTTAATCTCTCTCTCTCTCTCTCTCTCTCTCTCTCTCTCTCTCTCTCTCTCTCTCTGCTCAGCCTATCTTTAATTTTTAGCGTTTTGCCCATTTTGGTCGTCACGAACATTTTTGAGTCTCATATTATGTTTCAATCACAGAATTCTGCACTAAGTGTAGAATTCTGTGGTTTCAATTTAGTAGCATTCAGGGGAGCTCTCATGGCCTAGAGGGGAAAATGTTTGCCTCTCATTCAAAGGTCCCGGGTTCGAATCCGGGTAGAGACCGAACAAATTTCTTCTCTAAATTTGTCTCCTATCACCTCCTTTCCTGCAATATGTTCTTTCGTCTGCTTTCGTCTCTACTTTCTGCCCCCACCCCCTCACCTCCTTTGCTCCCTTCTCTGGGCTCTAACTCTTTCTGCACCCTTTCTACTGCTACTCCTTTGCTTCTTCTTACAGCTGTGTTTCAGCCACACCCCTGATCTTCTGGTAGGAAAGATAAAAATTTAGCCTTCTCGAACAAGGGCGAAAAATCTCGGAGGTCCCATGTACAAGTTGCGCACGTTAAAGATCCCTTGGTGGTGTAAAATCAATAATAGTAGGCTTCGGCCGCCACCCGCGCAAAATTCAAAATTTCCTACCAGCTGTAAATATTTGATGTGCCCCACGCGCTCATATGACCATACGTAGTTGCGAGTGCCGCAAAACACCCCCCCCCCTCCCCCCAAAAGCGCTCTTTGTTACATTTCTTTTTTCAAAATCGCGAAAATCACGAATTCAATTCTTGCGCGAAAAACAACAAAACAACAACAACAATAACATCATCAACAACAGCAAAAAAAGAAAAAAGAAAACAAACCATGGTCAAAGATACTATACCCTAGGGTATACCAATAATTATAAATTACAGTCTTTGGGATGTGCTATATTTGCCCTGGTGTCTATTAATAGAATGACCTTGTACTTAAGTGTAATCAGCTGGCTATGATAGGCGGTATGCATCAGGGACGAGATGTCATTGTTCTGCTATGGGTGTTGTGTTACCCTGACTGAAAGAGAGAGGCTGAGGAAAGACACAGAGACAGAAATAATAAATAGAGGAGAGAAAAGGGGAGGGTGGAAAAGAGATAGATAGATTGATAGATGCGGGAGGAGAGAGAGAGAGAGA